CTTCTTCTTCTTCTTCTTCTTCTTCTTCTTCTTCTTCTTCTTCTTCTTTCTTTCTTCTTTCTTTCTTTCTTTTNTTTTTTTCTTTTTTCTTTCTTTCTACGTGATGTCTCCCATTGTCTCTCTTTGCTTGTCTGTTGCTTGCCTGCCGCGGGTGTGGTGCGTGCATCCGTTCCATGAACAGTCCTCTGCCTATTTTCGTTTATCGCCCACACCTTGACAGGTCTGCCGACATCAGTGTGCACGTCACGTAGGAAGCTAAGTATATATATACATCTGCACTACACATACACGCACACATTTTTAGGGATTTGGTCGGACGTTGCAGTACAGCAGGTGGGGTGGCGGACATCGAAAAGAGCGAGAGTGGGAGTCATTGCGTAGTTCCCTCTCTCTTGCTCCCCCTCTCCGCGGTAGTGTGTGCTTTGACGGTACGGTCCGGTGTGTGACGGGGGCATCTGCACCTTGGGTGTGGCGTGTAGGCGGCAGCACGCGCACCGGCATATCATCTGTTTGCGTACGCCCACAACCACGTCGCGCCTATGGGCGGTGACCCTTTAGCTGTCTCTTTGGATCAGCCGGGCGCCGCACCGCCGCCGCCGCCGCCAGGGGAGGTGGAGGGACAGCAGCGGACGAAGGTAAACCGGTTGAGTGCGACCGCAGGGGATGCGGAGGAGACGAGAAGGATTCTGGTGGAGAAGAGGCGCATGACGGCGCCGGTGGGGGGCGACTTTGCCCCAGAAGTCAAAACAGACAACGCTGCATGGGGTGGAGACATGGCGTCCTCACAGCGTGCGGCATTTTTGGCAGGGGTAAGGGTCTTAGATTCCACGTCGGTAGAGCGAACTGCGGCGGGGTCGTCGTTTGGGGGGGCGTCGGTGCCGAACTCCACTCGCGAGTCGTCAAGCAGTGAAGGTAGAGACCGCAACCTCCACAGGGAAAGCAAAGAACATGAGAGTTGCAGGGTGAATGGCAGAGGCGGGGACGGGGTCATCGCTAACGTTGCGGCAGAGCGGGAGCGGCACATCTGCCACGAGGATGCCGACGAGAGCAACAACAGGAGCATAAACACTGGTAACAGCCGCAACGGCAACAACGGTGGAGCCACGAGTGCCCCGCCGCTGTCCTCATCCTCGCGGCAGTTGACACCGATAGCCCCTTTACGCCTGAATGGTGGTAATGCCAGCGATGCCAATGATAACAACACCAATAGCTGTAATGAAAAGCATGTCGGAAGCGCGGCGGCGCAGGTTGCCCCCTCTGCCTATTCGTTACTTAGCCCAATGGGGCGGGGGAGTTCATTGAGACAATGCTCACGCTCACAGGGCGAGGCATCGCAGTCGACGCGTCGCGTCATCGGGGAAGACTCCCAACTGCCGGCGGCGTGTACCACGTCGCTTGAAAATAGGTTTCTGACACAGCCGGGAGAGTACCAGTTGACGATGCCTCAAGTCCTGACGGTGCTCCCACCCAAGCTGGAGCAGGAGGAGAATAGTGCGCGGCAGGAACATTCCACCCGGGCGTCCCTCACCACTCCGGTGCAGCGGCAGAGGACCGGGCTGGAGGCGTCCCTTTTAGAAGCACAGCAGGTGAAACGGGTCTATCCGCTTCCCGCCGCTGTCTCTGTGGAGGGCACCGCGCCGCCGACTCGGTTGCTGGACTACGAGAGGGATGAGGATATGGTCTCCACAAATAGTCCAGCGGCAGTACGGGCCAACTCGTTTTTGAATGTGGTGGCGGGGGGCCCACTGATCTCCAGACCCCTGGACAGCGATCAATCGTTGCGACGGAGGCAGCCGACCTCCACGACATCGGGGCAGCCGATGGCAACTACCAGCGACGGTCAGAGTAGCTCGCCGCCGCTACGGCGAATTGCCTCTATCAAGGGTCTTCCTGCATTGTTGCAGAATGGCCCCAAGGAAGTTGCGGTTGACGCCTACGGATTAGAGCCGCAAGGGCGGACCTTGTCACAAGGAGCAATGCCGTCGGTGTCAGCGCCAGATTCATTCCCGCGGAGGGGTGGTCTGCCGCAAGACGGGGATTTGCTGTTGCCGAGGAGCGCCAGTAAGGTTGTCGACCCTGCCAACAGCGATAGCTTCCCATGCGGAAGCCCATTTCGTGAGAACGTTCTTGCCAATGGAGCGCACGCCGTCCGCGCTTTTTCAGGAGGCCCAGAAGACTCTATCGGCGCCAGCGTGACTATATCCCTTCACGAAAGCGGCACAGAGGACGATGAGGCGCCGGAGGGAGGTCCAGAGGAACGGGGCATGCGTGGTGGCAGACAAGAGCTCACGAGCGAGCAGCAGTGGCTGCAGGTGCCGGCCCTGTTTTGCCTTGTTTTCAATCTCATCAGGCTGCATGAGGCGGGGGTGTATCAATTAGAGGGAGAACGGGAGCGGGAGGTGAATGAGATGCTGGAGGACCCACACACAACAGTAGCGCCGCATCAAGCTTCTTTCTCGTCATCGGACTCGCTGCAGCACGTCTACAGGCAACTGTCGCACACGTTTTATGAGGTAAATGGTGTCCTGCTGAACCCATACCTCACCTCCTGGTCTGACGCCAATCTTCGCAGGTCGGTGGTGCAGGTTGCGAGGGACTGGGAAGTGAGTGGACCACGCAGTCAAGATTTTGGGGCGTCCTCCCTGCGTTTGCTGGACATAGTCTCCACGGACCGCACCGGAAAAGTGACGCCGACGTTGCTGTGTCGCGTGTGGGGCTTCATTGGCACGTATCGCCTTTCGCCACGCTTCATCTGTGGCATGCTTGTGACCGCATTTGCCCTGCTGGTGGTGCTGGGGTTTCTTGTCAGCCTCGGAAGCGACTACCTTGTCGCGCGCGTCGTGTTGACAGTGGTGATGGCCCTCGCAGTGTTGGTCTTAGCGGGTGCGGGTGCGCTCTTGTTCAGCCACAACGCCGTGGCGGACAAGGTGCGGGATTTTTACTTTTTAGGGATGCTGAACGACGTGGCGTACGTGATGCGCGACCTTGACGTCAACGTGGGCGAGTACGAGAACGAAGACGAGGACGAAGCCCTGAACTCTGTCGTGCAGCGCACGAGTGCCACGGTCTCTGCCACGCGAATTTCGTGGCACGAGAGCCTTGCGCACGACGCAACCCCCCTGCAGCTCGGGGAAAACGCAGCGCAGGAGGAGTGCAGCATCGCCAGCGGCGGCATCGCGAGGCACCCTTCCTTTTTGGTGGCAGAAGCGGCAAGCAACACCAGCGTCCCCGATCCTCGACGTTTGGCTTTCGCAGGAGGCGGTTTAGCGAGGGAGAACTACGGCGTTGGAGGAGGCGATTCACCCGGAACCCAGTCGCTGGGCGACGGCAGGGGCGGGACGAGTCGACATAACCATCTGCGGCAGCCCCAGCAGGGGCAGCACGGCTGCTTGGACGGGGGCCAATTATCTGGGGATCGACGCCACGACCTCCCCGCCCCACGGCCTGAGGAGGCGATGAAGGAGATGATGGTGTGCAAAACCATTGATCTAGACGCCCAGGCGGCGCAACCCCCTGCCGTGAAAAACGCGGGGCCCTTTCCACTAGGCCTCAACATGGCGACGCCACAACAGGCGTCGCCGTCGTCGGGGGGTGCGGCATCCATCACGCCTACGTCGTCAGCTTCCCCCGCCCAGCTGCCGCTCTCGCTGCGGGTGATGCGGGATGGTCTCACGAACAGGGGCCTCGACGAGGTTGCCATCACCGCGCTGGTGTACTGCCGTAGCAACACCCTCACGGTGGACATGTTTGACATGCTGTGGAGTTGCAACTTCCTCATCCTTCAGCGCAATACACTTGAGGCACTGGACGCGGCCTTTCATCACGGATTGGGGCGGTTTAAGGTGTTCCTGCTGCACGTGCCGGACCTGGACGAGGCGCAGCTGCGCACTGCCCTTGCCTGGTCCCAGAGGGAGCGTCGCGCGGTCTTCTTCTTTGCCTCTTTACCCGGCGCAATGCCGCCAGAGGTGCCCTACGCGTTTAGGCTCAAGCTTCCCCTCACGGCGCGGGAGGTGGAGACCATCCAGCTCTCCGGCATTGGCGTGGATGAGGAGATAAACATCAGTAGCGTGCTCCGTTTACCCAGGCAGTTTAAGATGCCGCAGTACACGCTGGGCCGCCGCCTCGGTGGTGGGGCGTTCGGGAACGTGTTTGAGGTTGAAATGGAGTCGATGGGCGCGTGCTGTGCCGTGAAGCGCATGTATCTGCGCGGGGATCGCGAGAAGGGGGCACACGGAGACGATAGCCAACTGAAGGAGATTGCGCGGGAGGTGGAAATCATGAGTTCACTGAGTCACCCCAACATTGTGCGATACTTTTTCTGCGAGCGTGACGGCAACTGTGTCTCGATCTTCATGGAGCTGTGCAGTGGGGGGTCGCTGAGCGAACTTATTGTCTCCGGCGGGCTACGTCGGGCGGAGGTGATAAAGCGCGTGCTGCACGACATCATCTCCGCCGTGGCGTACCTGCACGACAAACATATTCTGCACCGTGATCTCAAACCAGAGAATGTGCTCTTCTGCGGTGGCTGCGCCAAGGTGAGCGACTTTGGCACGGCCGTCTTCAAGCACGGGGACTTGACAAACGTGAAAGGGACAGTTGCGTATATGGCACCGGAGGTGCTGCTGGGGGAGACGTACGACAAGGCCTGTGATGTGTGGTCGTTTGGCTGCATTGCCGCGGACGCCCTCTCGGTGCCGCTTGTCAACCGCGCGCTTGGGCTGCCTGAGATGTGTGAGCTGTACCGACGCATGCCCCTTGACGCGACGCTGGAATTTGATTGCGACGAGCCCACCGTGCGTGGGTTTCTGGAGCTATGCCTGAAGCGTGATCCAACGAAGCGGTCCTCCGTGCAGGAGCTTCTTAAACACCCGATGCTAAAGGAGGACAACGCTGCAGTACATCGCTGGCTTGTGACGTGCGCGGAGCGGCGGGGCGGGCACCAGGCAGACAGCATGTTACACGGCTGCAGCGACGCCCAGGACGGGTTGCGGATTGGCTCGGCGAGCGTCGTTTCGCTGCTCTCGGCAGATGTGCTGGGCCCACGCTGTTCGTCGTAGCGGCCCCCCCACCCCCACCCCCTTCTTCTACTGGTGGGCCGCGGCGCACACGCACGCTTCTCAAGTTGCGAGAACAAATGAAACACACAAATACACGCAAAACAACAACGGAATAAGAGGAAAAAGTGGGTTGAGTTGTGTGTATGTGTGTGTCTGGGAGGCAGGGGCGCGGAAGCTGACAAGACGTAAAATGCGGGTGAACGAGTAGCGGGCGAGGCATGCATCACAGGCATCAACTCGCTTGTGGGGAGCGGCGAGAGGCAAACACACGCACAGTGTAGAAGGTAACGTACATGTGCGTGCATGTGCTGGTGCGGCAAATATATACCACCACCACCACCACCACCACCTCGTCTTCCTTTGCTTTTTTTTTTGCACATCATCACTGCACTCTTTATTTCTTTCTCTATTTCCAAGAAGTATCGCGCATGCACATATGCATTTACGGAGTCACGCGGATACATTACTAGTGTGCAACATGGATAGCCAACATTCTGGGTAGTGTAGGGGAAGAGCTTCAAAAGGGTCAACAACGAAATTTTGGCAGCATGAACCAACGCTCTTGTTTTTCTTTTCCCTTTTTTTTTTTTGTTTTGTTTTTTCTTCTATTGACGATTATTACTATTGGTGCTGTTGGTGTATATATATATATATATGTGTGTGTGTGTGTGTGAGTATGTGTTTTTGGTTTTATTTTTACGGATTCATTCCCACTTCCCTCCCAAACATTGTGTATATACCTCTATGCATTTGTCCGCGTCACTCATCCTCTCTCACGCGCACTCTTACTCTCTTTTTTTTTTTTTTTTATTCACTCTCCCGCTTATTTGGTACAAATTACTACAGTGACTGCTCTTGTTCCACGGCCGCAGCGGAGTGGTGTGTGTGTGTGTGTGTGTGAGGGTTGGGGTGGGGTGGCCCCACCTGCTCGATACATATGGTTGTGCGCATGACAGCTGCTCTTTCTCTCTCTCCTGCTGCTTCTTTTTCCTCCTCTTCCTGCGCTATGAGGTTTTAGCTTTGAAGCAAGTTCCGTGGCAGGACTGCGGGTTGCCGGTTAATGGGGTCCCCCGTTGTCACGAAGGCAGCGGCGGCGGCGGCAGCGGCACCTTGGCGGGGCTCGGCACAAACAACGCCCGTGACATCACCGCAGCGGCAACATGGCAGTGGGGGGTCCGTCCCGCGGCAGCAAAGCAGATGGCCTCCACCGCAGCAAGGCGTGCGGGATGCGGCGGGATTACCGTCACCGGCATTGGAGGCCCACGGCCGCGGTAAGGGGCTGCTGTTGTTCCCCAGTACTGCAGCGACGCCGCGGCGGCTAAGCACCACCATGAAGCCGCGGCCAGAGACAACTACAACCGTAGTCGCAGCTGCACCATCGTCGGTGTCAACGGCACTGGCACACTCCTTCTCGTCCTCGGCGCAGCATGTGCTTCCGCTGCATGATCAGCCTGCATTCCGCACAGATTTGGTCCACCGCACAGTTTTTGTATTTGGCCTTCACACCGTTGAGGAGTGTCGTGCGCTGCTGCAGCTTCTGCAGGAAAATTGCGGTCCTATCGCCGGCGCCTTCCGTACCGCCGATCTCACATGCCAGCATGACACGGCCTTCTCCACGTCCTCGTCGTGGGGGGCAGGGATTGTTGGAGGTGGGTGCGTTGTTATTTGTGTGGCTTTCTACCGCGCTGAGAGTGCCTGCATGGCGAGGCGCCTTGACAACACCGCCCATGTCTACCAGAAACGTTTCCTGGTGGAGAGTGCCGTGCGCTTTCAACACCTTTCAAGCCTCCATGAATCCATGTCTGTCTCCGCCGCCGCCGCCATGCTTGCCATGCCGGGCACCCCACAACATGAACGACTGTGGCAGCTTCTCTTCTCCCCGACGATAGGTGCAGCGACGATTGACTGGCAGGCTGCCGCCGCCGCGGTGGGGCGTGGCGAGGCGCTCTTGTTGAAATCGACTCCACCCCCTGCAGGGCTCGGCGGCGGCGGCGCCGAGGAGAATGCCACCACCAACATGGGATTTCTCATCCACCGCGATCATGAAAGTAACGGTAGATATCACACGCATCTCGGCTTCCGACCCTTGGCCACAGTTGGGAGGGATTCCGCAGGCGGCGGCGTCCTCGCCGGTGGTGGGGAGCCGGCGCGGAAATTTGACTTTGCGATGGACCTGACGGGCACATCAGCGTCAACGGCACCGGCTACTACTGCAGCGTCGACTATGCCGACTTCCAAGGCCGCTACCGCCGCTGCCTACCCCACCGGGTTTGCCACAGACGCACTTGGCCGCTCCAACACCCTGCAGCAGCAGTACTACATCACCCGCTACGAGTCCTCGGACGTTCCGCTCTTCTCGTTTGCTGCCCGGCTCTTCTCGTTGGTGCTGAGCCACATTACCAACCGGGTGTCGGGTGCATCGTCTGGGGGGGGAGGTTTGTACGGTGAGGCGTACCTCCCTGCACCACTTCGCCAACGCGTGGAGCGCGTCGACGGCCGATACTACGACACAGCCTCCGCCACTGCAGCATCCACCACGAGTGCTCCAGTGGCAGGTGATAGGGGCGTTGGCGGAGCTGGAAGAGACGTAGGAGCACACAATCCTTCGTTTGCGTTGGGCGAGCAGACCACAGGGACGGCGTATATTCCCCGCATGCGATCCATCGGCGACTACGTAATTGCCACACTGCCGTTTGCCACCCAGTTACTCACACCGCTCTTTCGTGCCGGCGGTGATGACGCGCCTCCCGACAACGGCCATTCCACCGAGGGGAGCAGAGGCGGTCTGGGCAGCGTGAATGACGCCACCAGTGGCGGTGGCGTTGGTAACTTCGGCAGTGACCCCACCGGCCCTGTTGAGGGGCCTAGTGACGGCGGGGTGGGGTTTTACAGGGGACACCCGCCACACACCACGGCGTTCGCGTCACGGCGGCGCAAACGCCCCCGTGACTTGACTGGCCTGGGCGATGGGGAGACGGGTGAGGCGCTGGCCGCCGATAACATGCTGCGTGGCATGGGCGAGGGATTTGTGTCTCTTCAGCCGGACACGTTGGCAGCCCTCTTTCCGGCCACTGCGGCCACTGCGGCGGCGGCGGTGGGTATCAGCGACGTGGGGGTGACCTCTACTGCGAGTTATTGCAAGCGCGACGTCGCGGGGGCGAGTGGCGTCTCCCTGGCCAGCGCATCGCCCTCCAGCACCTCCCCGACACCGCCAGGTGCCACCATCGACGCAGCGGCCAGCAACGACGCCGTACGGGCGTACTTGACGGAAAGCATTCGCCTGCGTTCGCTTCCTTCCCGCGACGCCGGCAGCGTCCCAGTGTCCGCCTTTGCAGCGACACCGGCGGCAGCAGCAACAGCGCCGCCGGGAGCTTTGAGGACAACACGGCCCCCACCGCCGCCAACATCGGTCTGGCAGGGGTTGACGTCGCCGCTGGAGTGGGGCCGTTGGCTTCGCCACGCCCGTAATTTCTACGACCGTTTCTGCTGAGTGCTGGGCGGCGGACGAGGACGGCGGTGGCGCTGCCGGCGTGCTCAAGTGAATGCCACTCAGCCCCTATATATATATATATATATATATACTTTGCTTTTCGTCGACGGTGGACGAGGCGGTGGGAAGGGGACGAGTGGGTCACGAACACACGACGTGAGAAGGGGGGAGGCAACGCGAGGAGCGAGAGTGGGAGGAAAATAGAAGCGAGGGAACGTAGAAAGGAAGCAAAGAAGAAAAGTGAAAGAAAGAAAGAGAAGAAAATAATGGAAAAATAGGCAAATGCGTGCATTGCGCCACAGAGGCAAGAGAAACAGAGAGGAGGGGTATCAGAAACAGACGCTCGCGCGCGGGGGGAGGGGAGGGGAGGAAGTAACCCCGGGCAGCAGAAGAAGTTGCGACTTACGGTGGCGGCAGGGCGAGAGCCACGCGAAGCGAAAGGAGGGTCTGACATTATCGGACGTTTCATGTACATCGCGTGTAGTCATGCTACATTAGCTCACGCAGAGGCGTAACTAACTGTGTACGACTGTGCGGGGTGGGTGGGTGGGGGTGCGGTTTCAGAGGGAGAGGGCGGGGCGTCGCCTTCTTGTGCCCCCCTCCCCCACCGTGCGAGACTCCATGCATTAATGCACAGCTGTAAACAACTTTTTTTGTTTTTAAAAAATTATGGTTCTCGGGCATGTGCGCAGTCATCTCATGCGTGTTCCTCCACTACCCGCTTTGCTTCTTTCCTCTCCTCTTTGTGTGTCTGGGAACTTCCTCTGCGTCTCCTCTACAGCGCCACAGCCAACTAAAAAAAAAAAAAAAAAAAGAAACGAAGAGGAAGCGAAGGCAAAGTAAAACAACACCAACAAGACTGACAGCAGCAAGCCAGAAATGCCCAGCGTCATTGTTAACTGCACCTTCAACCCTCCGGTGCTCTCCATCGTTGGTGCGCCGCTGCGCCAGGAGACCCTCGACGCCCTCGAGAAGGTCCTTCCGTGCTGCACGACGACCAGCCAAAACAGCCTGGGCGCCGCCGTTGGCAGCGCCCCGAAGTTTATGCTCGTTAACAACCAGCCGAACACATGGCGCCTGTCGATTGGGCAGCACTACTGCGACCAGCGCGGCCGCTGCGTCATGTTCGCGGAGATCATCAAAGCCCTTCACGCGGAGGGCTGGACGCTGCGCACCACGAGCTCTCACGAGTCTGGCAACGACAAAGACGTGGCCCGCCTCTTTTTCTGGCGTCCCAGCTGAGGCGAGGGCACCGTGTGTTGGCCTGTCACTCTCTCCCTTTCCGAATGCAATCAGGCGGATGCGAAAAATGGAGGAAACGGTGGATAACGTCATGTCAGTCCTCTTTTACTGTGCGTGCACGCCTATTTGTGACACACACACACACAGTAGTGTGCGTGTGGAGAGAGAGAGAGAGAGATGCGATGAATGTACGTAGACCTGGGAATGTAATAAACCGGAAAACCGAGAATCTTCCTCCCTCCTTCCGCTTGCGCACAAACGGGAGGCAGCAGAAACGAAAACCAACGAGGCAGAACACCGTTTACGGAGGGGCCCACAAACACAGCGAAAATGAGCGTGAGCGAGAGAGAAAGAAGAATAAAGGGAGGGGGGAGGGGGAGGGATCGCGTCCCTGCAGTAAGGGTATGCATGCCTGCGCGAGTATGTTCACATCTCTGTACGGATGCATGCATGCTCGTGTGTGTGTGTGGGCCCTGTGTTGTGCGGTTGCATTGGGGCCGTGGTGGACAGTCGCGCGGGGGGCCTGTGGGGTCTGCGCGGCGCCACCCAAACCGACAGGAAGAGGAAGAAACGCACCCACACGCATATGTATAACTAGAAATGCGTTCGGCGAAGCGGAGGAGGAGGGAAAGGAGGATTGAGTGAAGTGTAGGGAAGAAACGACGGAAGAGGACCCCCTTTTTTTTTGTGGTGTTCTTGTGTGTGTGCAGAGCCGTGGTGCCTCGCGCTTTTCATATATATATTTTTTCTTTTTTCTCTTCACCGGCGTGTGCGGGCGTTTGGGTGTTGTGAGTGATGCCGCAGCCATGCCGCATGCGACGGGCCGCAACACCGTGGACGCGGAAGTAGGGGCCAATAAGGAGCGCTGCCGCACCACGCACGGCGTCGCAGGAGGGGAGGCGGGAGGCGACGCCAGCGACAAGGCGGCAGCCACAGCGAGCCCGCAGCGGCAGCCTCAGAATGCCGGAGGGGACTCAAATTGAGGAGTGTGAGGCGACTCTGGGCCTGCTTCTCACCATCACCACCAGCACCACCACCACCGCCGCCGCCGCCGTGGTACGCCGACGTTGTCGTCGCCGCAACACCCGCGACGCTGGAGCGCCCCACGGCCTGCTACTGCGGGGGCCTTGTTGTGCGAGCTGCATCCGCGGCAGCAGCAAACACTACCACCTACGTCTTGAAATTTAGCGCATTTGGTGGTCGTGGCGGGGGACGAGGAGCGTATGGAGGTGATACCGTGCTGCACGTGTACCCTCACTAGCTTCTGCATTGTTACCGAGCATCAGTTGGCGATGCGGGGCATGTGGATTCCTGCGCTCCGGCGGGAGTGATGCTGGCGGACATGTACAAGACGGCCTGCGGCTACACCGTCTGCGTTTAGCCTCCCATGCACTGACGCCAACCTCGCTACACATGCAAAACGTTGTTGTTTCACGCGATGACTTACAGCGTTTACCGAGGGGAGCTCAATGAAGCATGTCGTGTGGGGCACCAATAAACAAAACAAAGACGATGAGATGGAGGGACACACACACACACACAGAGAGGGAGGGAGGGAGGGATAGGAGGGCCATTGCCCCCATCTTTGAGGGGAAACGGAGGGAAGACGTCAAACACCTACCCCCAGCTTTTTCCGTCTCAGCAGTGATGGTGACGATTGGGTGCATGTAGGCTCACACTGCTGCTCCCTCTCGTGCTCCTCCGTCTTTTGCTTACATTTTTTTTTATCCCCGTCACTACCTCTCTCTTTTTTTTTTGGCTTTCTCCTGGAACCCGTGTCTGCATGCGGTGACGAAGTGCATGCACCACCATTCTGCACGCACGTGTGTGCGTGGGAGTATTCTCTTCTCCCCATTCCCGTGCTCCCATCGTCGCACATGTTTTTTGACTGTTCGCTGCAAATCATTTTTGTTTTGTTTTATTTTCTTTCTTCTTCCACCGCGGTGGGTTCTGTCTGCCGTGTTGTCTTCCCCTCCCCCCTCTCTCCGCGTGGACGCCTGCTTTGGAGGCGCCTGGCGCAGGCAGGCAGATAGACAGAGAGGGCGAGGGAGGGAAGGAGAGAAGGTAAAACGATTAGTGCACGTGCTTTGCCGGGAATGACGGAGACCGACGCAAAGGAAATAAAATTGTCCGAGGTGGCGAGTGTGGGGGACGCGCCGTGCCATTGTGAGTGCACGACGTCAAATGTGCGGCGCATGTATCTCACGCTGCGGCTGGCGGCCCTCTTGCTGTGGCTGCCGCACTGGCTGGCCTTTATGTATGTTGCCGCTACCACCGCCACCGCCACCACCACCGCCACCGTCACCGCCTTGCTGTACGTGCTGGCCTGCAGCCTTGCCAGCATCGCCGTGACGTACTACATTGCGGTGTATACGCAGTGCGGGGAGTACCTCGTGATCAGTGCGTGGCTCTTTGGTGTGCTGCGGGAGGAGGTGTTGGCATTTGCGTTTCCCGACACGGTTGCCATCCCGCAGAGCAGCCGGTCCACCTTTTTGGCCTATCCGGCGGTAGCGGGAGTGATGATCGTTCACACGGGTGGTGGTGGCGTCGTCGCGGACGACCGCAGCGGCAGCGGCCTTTTGTGGGTCGTTGTCTCCATGCTGCAGGGCATCATTGGTGGCATCCTGTGCAAGATGAAAGACATCGATGAGGACCGGTACTACCCCACGCACGCCATTGGGGAGCGACTGTACGTCGTGTTGCCCTTCTGCACAGGGCAGTGGCTGAGCTTCATCCTGCGGAATGGATGGAGGGGAATCGTCGTGGAGAACCTCACGATTTTGCTCTCCCTCGCCATGGTGGGCTACTGCGTCATTGGCTACAAACTGCTGAAGCAGCACACTTCGCTTAGACGAGGGGACCTGATCGGGTTTGTGGATGAGTTTCTGACGACCCCTTTCGGCGTCGTCTTTGCAGTCATACTGTTCGGTAGCATCTTTGTCACCGTGCTGGCCATCCCCTTTTTGAAATCCCTCTTCTCACTCAACGCTCTGGTGAGTTCGATGGGTATCGTTTTGGAATTTATTGTCTACGAAGTGGCATAGACATAAAGTGCAGGGATATTATATATACAGGGATAGAGACCGACGAGTACATGCCTGCCTTGAATTCCAAACGGGAGCACCTGGACTCGCTTTCTCTGTGTACACGTGACTAACTTGACCGTGTCTGTGGGAGAGAGAGAGAGAGAGAGAGCCTAAAAAGGCGGAGGTGCATGCATTCAGTATAGCCATGGCTGTGTAACCCCTCTCTACGCGTTGCGTGTATGCATCTGCTGCGCTGTCTATGCCGGTGGGATGACGATAGAAACAGGCGTGTAAGAAGTGGGCCGTGACTTGACTTCCGGTAACTGCCAGGGATAATTACGATTAGTATTATTTATTACTGTTAGTATCATTTGCAATATAACTCCTCTACTCTCTTTTGTAGTGGTAGTTGTTGTCAGTGGCTCCGTTTTTTTTTTTTTTGTGTGTGTCTGTACCCCGCACTTGGCGCGGGTTGCGGAGACGTCGGTACGCATCTTTGCCTGTATTTTGCACCTTCCTGCGTTATTAGTATTATTATTATTAGTTTCCACTGAGATGTGCACAGTACACCTCACCATTAACCCGGCCCCTTCCTTTCTTCTTTCTTCTGTTCTTTAACTTCTGTCCGTGTGTGCCTGTGGATGTGTGTCCTCCGCGGCCTCCTTCATGTTTCTTTCTCTCCCTCTCTCCTTCTCTCCCCGTCGCTGCTGCTACCGCAGTGAGGTGGCATACGGCGGTCCACTGTGGCAGGCAGCCCGGCACACACACAAAGCGACCGCTTCTGCAGTTGCAGCGCCAGCGGTGAAGAGACGAAAAGCTCCCTCACCCCCCTTCCTTGCGGCGGCGGACGCAGGCCAGCTCATGACGTACTTCACGGTGTACTACGGCAACAATGAGGCGATGATGTTCAACGCCGAGTGCACCACCGGCTCGCTGGTAAGCCGTATGATTGAGTTACTTGCGCCACACACCAGCGGCTACACGCGACTGGAGCTGCTGCCAATTAACTTTGTGCTGGAGCAGTTTAAGCCGCCCACCAGCTCAAACGCGGCCTCGCGTGGCGGACAGTCATCACACGACGCCACCAGCGATACTGCCGCGGGCGCCGGCGTCGCGCAGCCAGGCACCCTCAGGTCCCAGCCCTTCACAGGCATGATTCCGTTTGTTGGGCTCGCCACCCGCGCGGTGGAGAGTTACGCAGACGCTGTGCTGGGCGGTGTGACCACGGCGGTGAGTTTCGCGTTGCCCGCATCCACGTCGGCGTCTTCCCACTCCGCCTCCGCGGGCGGTACCTCAGCTAGTGCGGCGTGCGGCGCCGCCCCCATCATGCCGTCGCCGTTGCTGCAAAACGCCTACGTACTGCTCGGGTGCCGGTATCATCCGCATCATCAACCCCAGCCGCCGGCGCCGTGTGAGCGGTTCAGCGCGGTGGCCGCCCTCAACCTCCCCACACCAAACCTGACAGGGAACAAAACTACACCCATGTCACCGCGGAAAACGTACATTGGTGACGGCTTTACGACACAGCAGCAACTGGCCACGCTCCACCGCGCCCAAATTATCGCGGCCGCCCCTATTGTGGCGGTGCCTCTCAACCGTGGAAGCGTCTGCAGCACCACCGCTCCCAGCGGTTTGGCGGCGGCAGCCTTTGCACAAGGCGGAAGCCCCATCGCGGATACCGGCATGCTACTGGTGCACAACAACGGACTCTCCCTTAGCGGTGATAGCTCAGCCGTCTGGCGCAGGAACTTTAGCAACTACCTCACCACGCTGCTCCTTCCCCAAGCCGGGGAGGCCCCTGGCAACGCCGCCGCCGCCGCTACCGTTTTGACAGGCGATGCCGAGCGCCAAAAAGAAACAAAGACGACTATGGACAATTCCCAAGGTGATACCGACACAGTGGTGAATGCGGTACTGCTCCCCTCTGCCGCCACAGGCCTCTTCAAAACCCCCATGCCCCCAATCGCCGGCTACGACGTTCTCTGGCGAGGGACGCGTGGGGAGCACATCCGCCTGCAGGACGCCCTTGACGAGCGCGTCTTCACCGACACCGACCCCAAAAAGAAGAAATCGAAAAAAAAATGAGAGCACGACGAAACAACGTTTCAGGGAAGCAGTCACCTGCAGAGGGAACAAAAAACAAAAAAAAAGCTGCAACGCAACTAAAAAATAAAAAGCAAAACAGGGAGAAATCATGTACACCACAACAACCTACAGGCACCAGCGGTGCTGGAAACACGCAAAAACACAAAAATAAAAACAACAACAACAATAATAACTACAAAACGCGCTCGCAGAACAGTGTGTTTCATTTCTACTACGACCATTCTGCTTTTTTCAAAAAACTAAAAGAAAAACACCTCCGATATGGCTTCTATCCCCTAAATTTTTATTTTCTCTTCCTCCCCTGCTGCGTGCTCTCGCTGCGCCCGTCCGGTGGCTGCCCGACAGGAGCGTCTGGACCGCGAACAACAAGCGAGCCCCACGAAGGCCTAAGTGACAATGACGCCGCGCCACGTTCTTTGCGTGCTGCTCTTTGCCCTCTGCTGCACGTGCGTGTGGGCCACGGAGCAGATGCCAACTACTGGTGGTCAAGGCACCACAACGTCCACTGACACCACAACGACAGCGAAGACAGCGACGCCGGCTGCGAAAGCGCCTGAAAAAAAACCTGAGGGCACGACGACGACGACTTCGAAGGCACCCGAGCACGACGGGAGCGGCCTCGGCGGCGCTGCTTGGGTGGGTGTGCGGTTGCTGCCGCTGCTCGGTGCGGTGGTTGCCGCGGTGTGAGGAAGGCGCGGCGGTGCGTGCGCTGTCGGTCTGGGGTCTCGCTGTGTGCGGCCGCTGTTGCCGCGCGGGAGCACCGGGTGGCGCCCTCGCCGTGGCTTTCCTAGAGCTGCATCGCAGGTGCGGGTGTCTATGTGTATACGATGCCGGGATGTACATGCCCGTATATATCTTTGCGTGTGTTTGCGGGGCTCAGAGCGTCTCCCGCAGTGCGTTTTCAGTTTGTCTTTTTTGGGCGCGACCGTCCGTCGGGTGCTGCGGCCGCCGTTGCGCGGTGTGGCGCAGTGCCCGCCGGCCCTTTTTGCGGCGACTGCGTGCGGATGTGCGTCTTTTCCCGCCGTCGTCTGTCGCGGGTGCGCCGTTTTTTTTTTTTTGGGTTTCGTTCGTTCCTTCGTTGTGCGTTGACTGTGCGTGTGCTGCCGCGACGTGGATGTTTCGTCGTGTTTGGTGTGTTTGGTGTGTTTGGTTTTTTTTTTCGGTTGTTCTTTGTTGAGGTTGTGTTTTTTTTTTTCTCGTTGCAGTGGTTTTGTGGTGGATGTGATGAGTGGCTTGGTGCGTTTTCAGGAAAGTGTTGATGGGTTTTTCATGCCTTCAGCGTCGGTGTTGGCGGGGGATGATATATCGTGTTTGTGTGTTGTATGCGGCGGCGTTGGCTGTACGGTGACGTTGGCGGCCGTTGGCGACTTGGATGCAGGGGCGCCTCCCGGGACGTCGTCGTTGGGGGGTGTTGGTGCCGCGGCGTCGGGCGTGTCTTCTGCCTTGCAGGGCGGTGTGGCGGGGCCCTCACTCTTCTGGTGGTGGAGGCGGCCATTGACGTGCGGTGTTGGTGGCGATGCTTCTGCGCAGCGGCTGGAGCCGGATGCGGCGGTGGCGGATGCAGTGCTGGGTCTCACGGTGTCAAAGGCGAAACGGGAGTTGGCGCGAGTATATGCCATGTACGACGCTGCGAGGGCGGCGCTGATGTGGGCGGACGCCGTGGCTGCCGGCACGTGCCCGTTGGTTGGGCGGCGCGATGGGGCGGGGCATGTGGTGCTAATACCTCTGGAGGAGGATTGGGCAGAGGCGGTGCGCCGTGGCCTGCCACTGGTGGTGGTGTTGCGCTTCACGCTCTGGGCGTACGCCTTGCGCGGCTGCCGGCGGCATGGTGGGGGCACAGCTGACATGCAGACGGCGCTGCCGCTCCCACAGTTTGTTCCGGGCGTCCACACGGATCGAGGTGACTGGCTGGAAATGCTTGCGTTGTTTGCGCCGCCTGACTACGCCGCGGCACTCCTGCAGCGCGCGCGCAGCATCTCAGGCAGTCGTGATTCTGCGGATGTTAGCTGTAAGGAGTCATTGTTTTTGTCGTGGCGCCGTACGGGCCCTCTGCTTCCAGCCGCAGCCTGCAGTGCCGCCGCTGCGGAGGACGCTGCAGCAGCTGCCACAGCGGCGTCTGGAGTGGCTTGGACGAACAGCGCGCGGCACGGCGCCGTGCATCTGCGGGCAACCCTACGCCCGCCGCCCACCCCAACGCAGGTGTTTCTCTTCCACGGCGAGTGGCACGTCTTGCACCACCTCGAGGGCGTCGTGCGGTGCACGTCGGAGGTACTAGTAACAGCAGCGGAGACGGCGCGCAGTACCAGCGGCGAGGGAGGCGTTGAGTCAAGAGGGTCGCCTTTAGCCACGCTGTCGCCCATTGCTTCACGTGTAGGCGCAGCCGTTGAGGACCGTGGTGATGCCCCCCCCACTGCAGCTCAATCCAGGGCTGTGGGTGGAGGCACAGCTGCCACTGCTGCGTGGCGGCATGAGGGGGTCCGACAGCGGTGCGTTGAGCGGGGAATGCTTTGCGGCGGTGGTGGGCGTCATGCAGAGGCTGGCGACACTGACAGTAACAATGATAGCGATGACGTGGGTGCAATTGTGGACTACGCGGAGGCGTTATTGCTGCCCGTTATCTCCGCACAGGCGGCTAACATGCACGCATCCGTGCCGTGCGGAAGCCGAGGGTATGTCAGAGGGGCGATTCACGATGACACGAGTGACGAGAAGAGTGGCGGCTGCGAGGGTAATGGAGCGACGACTACAGCAGCCGCAAACGTCGTTCACGGTGGGCTGACGCAGCTCAGCACGTTTGTGGGAATACCGCGTGAGGGCGCGGCTGCCACAGCGGCCCTCCCAGAAGCCTTGACCGCCGTGGGTGGCGGGGCTTTTTGTCTCCCGAGGTCGGTGGTCCAAAGCGAGGAGGCCTTCCGCGTGTTGGCGTCCTGGGGCTTCGTCCCCGCTGCGATGGCTGCTTCCGTGCCTCTTTGGGGCGGTAGTGAGGCGAGCGCGTACGACGTGGTGTCCCGTAGCCTGCCTCTGTCAGCCTTTACAGCGCGGTTCTGCGGTGACATTCTTCAACGTCGTGGCGTTCCCGCTTCTCCGCCTTCTTCCGCATACATCGACGACGACGGCAGCAGCTGCTGGTGGCCGCTCGGGGCTCCATCTGACGGCAGTGGGGACGACGCAACAAGTGACGAAGACGACGACGTTTCCGGTCTGGCGTTGCGGCAGCTTGGCGTCTTAGGCAGTGCAGCTCCACACCCCACCGCGGCGCCACTTCCCCGGCCCCTCGCATGAAGGACGATGGGGATAACATCTTAGAGACCCTGATAGCGAGAAAGTGAAAGTGAAAGTGTGTGTATGTCTTTGTAGGTGCGTGTGCCGCTGGCCAGTTAGGTTTTATTACGTGTTTTGACTACGTTTTTTTTTTTTTGGGATTACTGTTCGGGCGCGTGTCAGGTTCGATTGTGTGATAGAAGTTGCTGTGATTGGCGTTGCTATGCATCTGGCTGTCATACACACACAGGGGATGTGTTTTTTTTATTTTGCCGTCACCTCCATTGCCTTTGGCTGTGCTTTTGTTGATGCGGTGGTTGCATGTACGCTTCTTTTTGTTTTTGTTGTCGTTGAACAGCCGAAGGAAATGTTACGTGTCGTGCGGGTGCTGCGCGGACCCGGCGGCGGGGGGTGGCGGTCAAAGCCAATTGGCGAGCTGGACCGCCGGGGTCGCTTCAACCTGGACGAGGCTGCGGCAGCTCTTGAGCTTGACCCCGCCTACGTTGCCGCGCTCTACAAGCCGCTGCATTACACCTTCGCCGTGCGGGGCCAGCACTACCCGGCGGAGCAGGGCCGCGTGAGCCGCCCAGGCTCACTTAGTTGCTCACGGAGCCGTATGTTTCCACTGTACCGCCGCGACAACCGCTTGGATGCGCAACTGATGCGCCTGAGTCGCCATAGCGTCTCCACGGAGTGAGAGGCAGCGGCGGTGATGGAAGGTGTGTATGCATGTGTGCGTGGGGGGACGTACCTGCGTGCGTGTATTGGTTGGATGCAACCGACATATATATCTGAAGCTCGCAACTTTTTCTCCCTTCCTCCCTGGCTGTCTTTCTCTCTGACTCTGTGCCTGTGTGCATGCTTGTGGGTGTGTGGAGTTTGTGCTCTTCTTTTTACTCTTCTCTGCTCCATATTTTTTCTCCTCGCAATGCTTGCTTGTGGATGTGCATGGCGTAGCAAGCCGTGGGTCTCACGCCCACCCTTTCAGGTGGTTTTTCACCCACACGCAGAGGCACACTGCGCTGGAGCGTGCAAGTAAGGGAACAAAAAAAGGGTTCCAGACACACACACACACACACACACACGCAAGTGTATCGTTGTGTCTATATTTGTGCATCCTTGAAGTGTCAGTGCGCTGTGATTTGAGAGGATTCAAAAAAAAAAGAAAAAAGGAATACATATATATATATATAAAATTCCTTTTGTTTTCTTTAAAGTTTTAAGTTTTTTTTTTTTGTTAAAAAAAGTTTTTCTAGTGGTGTTTCCTCCCGCCGCCGCGTGTACGGTGGCCGCGTTGTCTTCACCCATCGATGCCGTCCGCTAATTGGACTGCCTGCTTTTCAGAGGCGTGTGGCGGAGGATACGACGCTTCGGCCCGACACACACACAGAGAGGAGGAGGGAAAGCCAACAGAAGCAATTTCGCGTGAGTGCTGCCCCCGGGGCGAAAGAGACGCGCTTTGTTTTTTTGAAGCATCACTCAGCAGCGCGCGACTGCAGGGAGCAGTGGTGACAGAACAGGCCCGTAGCATTTCGCATGGCGGCCAGGCGGGGCTCACGCCCCTCTCCCTCTCGCCTGTGTCGTTGCCCACGCCACGCATGATGGAGGCTGGCGACGGCATCGAGGCGGCGTCCCAGCTGAGGCGTCATATTGGGGCTGTGGCGGGGTTGTCGGGGCGGGGGGGAAAAAATGGCCTGGAGGAAGTACCATCCCTTTCCCTCTCTGGGCAGCGGTCGCCCGTGTCATCTGCGCGGCCGCACGACATTGAGCTGCCTGCCACCCTCGCATATGAGGAGACAAACGGGCAACATGGGCAAGAGGCGCATCAGCAAGAGGCATTTCCGCTGACGGCTTTGCGGTATGTCTGTGAGCAGATTGGGAGGGTGCTGGAGCGCCAGGAGACCTCCTTTCGCGAGCTGGACGCCCGTGTCTCGCGGCGAAACTCGTCAGCATCGCAGCTGTGGCCCGAGGAGAATCCGCCGGCGCAAGAGTTTCAAGGGGAGTTGGTGGTAGCGGACGATGCCCCCGCCTCACCGCAGGAGAGGGGCTTTTCCTGCAGTCAAGCTCGCAGCGAGCGGCAGCAGCAACAGCGGGAGGAAATGGCGAACACCACGCTGGCTGTGAACCAAACGACACGGTTCCTTGCATCCCCCCGGATGCGCTCCGTCACGGGTTGCCGGCCCTTTACCGCCGCTCCTGTGTCCTCCTACGAGATGACGGGGGAGGAGGAGCGGCTGGTGCTGGAGCAGGCGCAGCAGCAGGAACCGCAACTGCAGCAGCGCGCAGAGCTTCATGAGTCCGTGGCCGGCGTAGCTGTAAACGACGCCCAAGACGTCATTACGCTGCATCCAAATGTTAATTGCCTCGTTTTCGATGCCTCAGCGACGCCGTGCCCTTCGCTTTCGCCATTCTCAGCATCGATGAAAAGAGGGCCGTTGTTGCCCGTAGCGGTGCCCATCTTACAAATCGAAAGTATCTCAAGCGTTTCCATCTCCCCCCTCTCCCGGCCGCTGTCTGCATTTGAGGAAAGTCCAACCTTTTCACGAAGAGAGGGCTTTGCGCTGCAGGGGACCTCGGCCCAATTGCAGTTGCCAGTCCAGCAGATGAGCGTTGGCGCCTCGCGGGGTGAAGCCGCGCCTCGCGTACCTCCCACCTCTTTCTGTAGTTGTGGTGTTGGGGAAGGCGTCGCCTCGATAGGACACACATGGAGTGCGCCCGGTGTCATGGACCTAAGCTTTAACCGGACCCCGAAGCACTCCCTCAACTCCAGCCCATCCTACCAAGCGCAGGAGTCGACCTCCACGCGAAACACAAGTATCAGCAGCGATGTCGTCCTGGCGTACTCCTTGAGCACAGACTCGCTGGCTCACGGGCCTACTGAACAGGAGTGGGGCGAAGAGAAGATGCCGTCTCCACGTGGTGTGGCAACTGCAACAGCAGCAGCAGTAGCAGCAGCGGCATCAAACACCATACCAGCGTCTGGAACAGCGTCCCGAGAGACCCTGCTCCCAGTTTATCGAGTGCCGCCTGTACAGACCATGCGTCGCCCACCAACGGTGCCGCAGCGAACTGTCCCGTTAGATGTCCCTATGCGTGATGAGGAGGTTTGCAACTCGGACGAGGAGGCGCTCAGTGATGCGTTCAGTGGGGAGGAGCTAAACAGCAGAGTCAGCGACGGGGAAGACGACGAAAAAGGCGACGGAGACGCTTGGATGAGGCAGTGGCAGGTGCATCAGCGCCTTTTTTGAGCCCTCGTCGTCGCGGTGGCGGAGCCCGCTCCATCACGGAGCCTGTGCCGCCTCCAAGCGGCATAGGCGCAAAGAGGATGGGCTGTGGGACATGTTTTCGAGGCTGCGGGAGTTGGAGCAGATCCGCATTAGCAACCACGAGGCAGTGGAAGAGCGTGAAATGCAGAGCCTCTTCTCTTTGGAGTCGAAACTCAACCCACTGGAGACGTCGTGGATGGAGAGCGAGGTGAGTGAAGGAGGAGGAAGCATACCCGCCGGCCGGCGACGGTGGCGCCGTGGTAAGGCGCGCACAGAATCATGGGAGACAAGCACGCCGGTGTTCTCGGCAGCGCCAGCCACCAACGGCACGGTGGCTTGCATCAGCTCGAGTCAGGACCACGACGATCACGCTAGTGGGAGGCGGGAGGCGACCATAAAAGTGCGGCAGCAACAGACACGACATGAAACAGAAGATGCGCAGCAAACGGCGCTGGAGAAGGCATATGACACCCAGCACGCAATGCAGGCGGACGCGGTAAACGGGAGGCAGAATGGGAAGGGACGGAAACGAAGCAGCAGCGGTAGCAGTGGGGATTGGAGCAATGATGGTGAATGGATTGACGGCGGTGAGGTGCCATCAGTCCCCTTGTCGTCTTCAGGTCTCGCAACGAGCCGTGCGAGGCGAACGGGTGCCTCTGCCACGGACGTTTGCGGTGCGAGTGAGACGAAGTCAATGGCCCCCCGCGACAACGCGAGCAACACGGATGGGGAAAAGTCTCTGCTCTGCTCTCCAGCTTCGGGGGTGTCGGCGACGGACATATTCGCGTCTTCTATGCGAGGCGACAGGGAAGACGCGGTGGTGGCGGCGGGAGGCGAGCAAGGCGAGGCGGAGAGCGCGGTTGCCCACCCTGACACGCCCAGACCCTCCAGCCCCCTCTTCCCTATTCACCTCAAACCACGCCCGCAGTCGCACAAAAAGACACCCGGTTCCGCGGCGCTGCCGCGTCGACACAACAATTTGGTAGCATGGGTGCGAAGCACCTCTCGCCGCCGCTGCGAGGAGGCCATGATGCAGTTCATTGGGGGAAACGTGGCGTTCCTCTCACAGGGCAGTGGTGGCGGCGTCCAGGCGCCGGCTCCGGTGGCGAAGAATGATGACGGCAGCGTGCACCGCCGCCGGCGAAAAGTGGTGGTGATGAGCAGTCCCGGTAAAGCCGAGAACGCATCACTGCGGCATGGAAGAGGCACGAATGACGACGCAGGCAGGAACACGACGACGACTGGTGGTGGTGGTGGCGGCGACGGCGACTCGACGGGAGTGGCAATCGCCTGCACGAAGATGGTGGCCACGGCAAAGGCGGGGGCAGCGGGGGCAGCCATATCTCCCACGCGAGCTGTCAGTGCGTCTTTTGGGCGTAGGTCATGCACTGAGGCGCCGTGTCACACCTCCACCCCCGCCCAGCATGTTACACCTAGCCGAACCTTGGCGTCAGCATCTCTCACGCTGTCGTCACCGGCAGCATCTCAGGCAGCAATGCAGCAGCCGCTGCCGCAGCCGTCGCCACTACGGGTGGCTGCTGCTGCTGCTGCTTTGTCCGGCCTGCACCCACACAAACACTTCCACACGGAACATTCAGCGGTCATGGGTGTCAGCGCGGAGAGACGCACGCCGGAAAACCTTTCCCCCACACGGGGCACAAAACCAAATCTCACCCTGACGGCAGCAGCAACAACAACCGCGGTGACAACAGCAAAAAAAGCAAGAACGGCAGCGGGGACATCTCCCACAACATGTGCCTCGCGTTTTTCAAGACATAGCCACAGTCACGTAGGGATTAACAGTGGCATGCTTGCGCAGCAGCACTGTTTATTGTACTTGCACAATTTTGGCCAGGATATCCTTTTACAGCCGACGTCTAATTTGCATTCTGGTATGCTGCCGTTAGAGAAGTGGCGTTTTCGCGAGGGAGGGCGCATGGTCTCGGGGGGCTCGGATGCCTCTGAGGAACAGGAATGTGTGCAGTGTGTTGCACATGGCACTAGCGGACTCAACGCCCCACTACTTAGCTGTGGTACCTCGCTAAGCACGAATGAGCCGTCCACACCGCCCTCACAGCGACAACGGCTACGCAGAGGCAGGCGTGAGACAACAGAGGCGTCGCCGACGGGCATTGCCGCGCGTTGGAAGCAGCGTCGCGCGAATACCGGCGCTAGACCTTCTAGTAACCACGCAAAGCGTGCGTTGGACCACACCACCACGTGTGTGCCCGGCGCCGGCAGGTGTGATGTTCCGGAATTCGTTGAGTTGTGCTCCACGTTCAAGGGGGTAGAGAGCCTGCGGGCTGCGCACACACCCGAAAAGGCCTCGCCACCGACGGTGTCCACGGCGGCCAATCAGCAAAGGCCGCGCGTTACGAAGTTTGTTGTCGCTGCATGCGGCACTGAGTCGGTAGCGTTTGCAAGCACGGTAGCCCTGCAGAGTTCGATGCCGGGGGCGGCATCCACGACCCACTTTCCCCGTGCACTGAAGCGTGTGAAGCGGACGCCTGCTTTCAGCTGCGGTGGCAACCAACACCGTACAGAGACGGTTACGCCGACAGCCACGCGGGTGTTTTGGCGCCCGGCAGGCGGTGGCTGTTAAGTTCAGCCCCACCCCTGAGGCGAACGAGCCATCTCCTCCCGCTTGGACACTGACCGCTGCGACATCCCACCACGCCTTCTGCGCCTGTCCATCGTCTGCCCCATTTTGAGTGTACCTCGGAGAGGCGGTTCTCATTGCTGTTTTTGTCATTATTATTATTGTTGCTGTCTATTTGGTGTCTCCGCCTTCCTTCCTTGTTTTTTTTTTTCTGTAGCAGGTTATGCACTGTTTACTGTGCGTATTTTTTTCTTTCTTTTGCATTTTAGGTTTGGTGCTTATATGCTGCGGGATGAACCTATGTAGACTCCGATGAATGTTGTTATTTGGTTAGTTTTTAGTTGTGGTGGTTTGTTTGTTTATATTGTACCTTCTTTTTTTTTTTATTCTTCTTCTTCTGCAGCTGCAGCTGCGTCGTCCTTGTCTGGGTAGCCGTGCGAGGAAAGGGAAGAGGGGACGAGGGGGCCGTGACCCGCATGCGTGTGTTTACTGACAAGAGACGTAAAAGGGGCGGGGTGCTAAAGTGCAAGTTTTTTATTGTTGTTGTTTTCTTCGTCTTGCACCCTCCCTTTCTCCATCCATCGCTTCTCTCCTCTTTTTTCTTTTGTTGTTGTTGTTGTTGTTTTTTTTTTTGGTTTTTGGTGCATCTTCCTCCATGGCAACACACGTCCTTCCGTTTGTTTTTGTTTGGCTGGGCGACCTGGGCCTATTGCCTTCCGTCGAGGTACGACCGTCGCACCTCATGTGGGCTGCCTGCTTATCCCCTCC